AAACATTTGATCAACGGCACCGTAAGATCCGTTTGGCAACAGCGAAAGGGTGGATCAAGTTTTGACGGACCACTCGAGCAGGGCGGGCAGACTGCAGCTCCAAAGTCGGGCGAAGCTGTGCCTGCGAGAAGAAAAAGACAGCACAAGGAAATAAGAGGGGCCCAACAAAAACGTGCGAGAAGCGTGTTCTGACTGAAACATATTGATGTCTTACCCACAGGACACGGCCGGCAAACATCATCAAAGCCATGTGAATAGGTCCCCACTAACACAACAAATTTGATGCGGTGAGCTTTCCGAAGACCAGATAGAGGCGTTGCTACTTTGTACAGAGATGTGGGAGCAGGAGCAGGGTCGAGTGGCACCTCCACAAGGTCGACAGATACAGCCGGAGGCTTCCTTGTAAAAACCGGGCTCGCAGGGATCATCAATGTAGGTATCTAGAACACACAAATGCAAAGTGCGCCAAATGAGGGGCATGAATCAACTCGCTGGTCAATGCAAGGTGACGTACGCTCGCAGCGAGCGTTGGCAGTTGCCATGAGCAGCGCCAGGGCGATGATGAGCTGGCCCACGGCTTGGGTTGCTCGTGCCAGGCGGGGCATGATGATCGTTGAATCAGAAGGCAGCCAGAGCGAGGCAGGCCCCAAGGTGCTTCCCCTGCTTCAAGTTGAAAGCAGCTTGGTTGACATCTCCCGTCCTCGAATTACCAGCACGATGGGTGGGCTGTCGTTGGCAAAAAGAAGATGATAATGATAAAATTCTTATTATCAGGCCGATCCGATCTGAGGGCAGCGGTGGCCTCAAGACGGTTTTTGGCACACCACCCCAACCGCCCAATCGAGCGAGGGAACAGCGAGAGAAGAGCAGGATGTGCAACCAACCAGGCCACCAACACGAACACAGAAAGCAATTTAAAAAAATGCATTCAATGCCGCTGCCATCCGCACCCGCATCACCAGCACCACTCACAACAACAGCAGCAGCAGCAGCATCAAACGGCAGGCGGAGAGACGTCACGAACCTTCAACAAGAAAAAAAAAAAAAAATGCAGAAAAAAGCAGGATCTTTTGCCACACACACAGACGTAGCTACACACACTTTGATGTATATTTTTACACTATAACGCCTTCATACAGTCACACGTGACATCACGGGTTCCTATACTCACACGCACGCACACCTTTTTGGTATAGAGTGGTAGATGGTAGATGGTAGGTTTTGATTGATACAGTAGACCTACACACGTTATACATCGCATGTCTTTGGTTGGAGGCTTGATATGGGAAGAATGGCGGCGTTGGTCAGGGGATGGGTGTGAACGGTCTGTCCTTTGGTCGATCTAGATGTGTGTGTAAGTATGTGCGGGATGAAGACGCTCATGTGCCAAGGTGTGGTGACTGCCCTTTGTTGTCCCGTTGTTGGCGTGTCCCATCAAGTCTGACTGATCAACCTCAAGCTTCTGATTGGAGCCGACTCAACAAGACTGTGCGAAGCCACGAAGAACCATGAATTCAGATCTAGATCACTGACCCAGAACAAGCAGCGCAACCAAAGCCCACCCGAAGCGCGCGACAGGAACAGAAGAAGAAGCAGAGAAAAAGGAGTGTCCAACCATGGAAAAGGACTGTTTTTTTTTTTTTTTTTTTTTGTGTGTGTTTTTATTTTTTTAATTGAGAATGTCAGACGAACATGTACGAATCGAACGGGGCACACCACCCCAGAAAAGGCTAGCACTCATAGTTGGGAGAGACGGCGTGGGTCAGGTTGATGGCAAAGCCAAGCTCAACGCCCCGCTTCAGGCGGTCAATCGCCGATTGCAAATCTCGGCACCCGCCCAGAATACGGTTCTCCGCCACAAAGTCTGGCAGGTTCTCCCGAAGCTGCAGCCGATAATGCACAATCCGCTGATCCTGCACACCCACTTGGCTCGAACTCAAAGTCGAGTTCATGTCGTGTTGCGTTTGACGTCAAGAGATGAGCCTCCTAAACGTAATTTCTATCTGCAGAAGTCGGAGCGTGATCTCAGGACGCTTAGTAGGGCAAGGAATAGACGGGGGCAGCACCTGGGACACCAATATCGTAGCCTCGGCTACCCCATGACGTGTCCTGGGCTGCTATAGTGGACTTTTGCTCCGTGTCATAGAGCCCACTATCCCAGGCCCCGCCAACACTATGGCGAGCCGCAGCAGAAGCACCCGTGTTGTACAAATTTGCATCCCAGCCTGAGGCTCTGCGGTGCTGCAAAGGTATCGAGTCGATAAAGCCAAGATAGCGGTAGTTGACGGTGGTTGGCTGTGGTGAAGGTGAATTCAACAAGACCAAACATATCAAGTCAGCAACCAATCAGGTTCGTACTCGACGAAAGAAGCCATTTAACTGTAATGCTGAAGGGTTATGTGCATGCACTATGTACCTCATTATGTGATGCAAAAGCTTGTGCCAGGCTGCTGCATTCAGCGCTCATGCGCTGTGCCGTCTTTTGATAGACAACCACGCAAGCAGTAAAGCAAGGTTAGTTAAGTTCTTTGAGTAGTGCAACTGTCCAAGCCTCACAACACATATTAAGCACTAAACGCACTGGCCTAGCAGAAGGGTAGTAATTCCAGCACTGGCGCATGAGATCGTAGGCTGCCGCTGGACAGCCTGGTGGACAAGGGAGCAGCTGCTGCGATGTAATCTGAATCGCCAACTTGTCCCTAGACACTGCCAGACAATAAGTAGCATTAATTGAGGGCAGCGCACGATGGGCACTAAGCAATTAATTGTTGATAGTATGCTTGCGCTCTGATTATTTACCTTGAACATAGGGTGTAGCACCCAACGTCCAAATTTCCCACATTAACACTGAGAATTGGTAGTTTGAGGTAGAATGTACCGGAGTCAAGAGCGACTGGCACTTTGATGAAAATAACAGAACAGGGGTTCGGAACAACAACAACTTACCACCAAAGCTGTACATGTCAGCTGCCATTGAATAGCTTCTAGACTCGACTGCCTCAGGTGCCAGCCAGCGCTGGATGAAGCCCTGCCGTTTTAAAAAAGAAATTGATATGCAAAACAAAATCAGGACGGGGTTAAACAGTTCAAAGCAACCTAAGAGCAAGAATGGCGGAGAACGCCTTGGCTCGATGCACAAAGGAGCGACCAATTCCCTCCCACGCACGTCAAAATGCAGTTTGGGATCGCGACCCAAAACAACAATGCGTGGTTCACCGTGGACATCCATCATCACAGTAAAGCCGTTCAAGGTCATGAGCAGCACGCTTGAATCATGCAGAAACTCGACGGCCGACATGAGTTTCTGACACATGTTGGATAAATCAGCCTTGGACAAGCTCTCCTCCAAATTCTGAGATCCACGACAATCACGTAACATAGTGGCCAAAAAGCCTTGCTCGCAATCCTCTTGCACGACATACAATGGTTGTGAATGGAAGCACACTCCCACGAGGCTAGCACCAAACAGCACGCATAAAGCAGCAACGCAAGGCGCACAATACACGAGCGAATGAAATAAATCACGAACTGAAGGTGGCATGGATTAGGCAAACGAAGAGAGCTTTCGTGGTTAAAAATGCTCGTACCTAGCTATCGAAGGATGGCAATCGCGACCAATGCGTTTGAGAATCGAAGCCTCTGCCATGAAGGCATCTCGAAGTCTTAAGGCGCTATGCGCCTCCAGGCAGTTAACCAGCACGGGCACACACCGCCCGCTGTGACTTTTGTTCATAGGCTATTCAAGCATAAGAGGGTAGAAAAACGAAGATAAAACGATGGGTCATGATGATGACACCGGCAAGCATATAATGATGATTACAGGACTATTCTGACTTACTTCAAGATAGCCAGTGCTGAGTGAACCAAAAGGAGTGGCAGTAATACGGTTTGAGATAAACAGACGGCTTCGTTCTAACTCCCAAGAGGAATGC